AATTTAGTCTACGCGTCAATAAGACCGTCGTTAGAATAGTGCAAAAAATAAATAACGGATGGCGCCAAAAGTCAGTGTTCACGATTGACTAGCTGTCGTAAAACCCTACCCAATAATGCATCATTTTTAGTTACATCGAAATTTAACGACCAAGGACGTGCCGCTCGGCGTTTTAGACCGCTTTAATTTGAATTGAAACTTTATTGTTGAATCAGGTATGCAAAAGTTAAATTATTAATTCGAGTTCATACATTATAGCTGATTTAAACCTACATAAATATTGGTGTATTTCAAATACTTACACTATTAATGATTCACAAAAATGCAATTTAAAATATTATTTTTAATTACGACATTCTTGTTGGCTTATTAAGTAATTTTAGACTTAATGCAGTTTTCTTGAAAAATTATAATTAGCTTGTTTCTTGTGATTATTTGATAATATTTAAAAAAATATTTGTTTGTTAATTACAGCATTTCAAATAACATATTCAAAAATTTTAATGTCTAAGTAAGAATATTCTCATTAGCATTTTTTTTAAAATAATTTAGATTTACTACATTGTAGGTGACACATAATGTTTAGTGTTTTATTCAATAACGATTTGTTTTTTTGTAGAATAAGTTTACATCGTGGGCTTTTGTTTCTTGCTACAGAAGTGCAAGATAACACAAAATTCAAAAAGAGGGTTCGTAATGTATCAAATTGAAAATGTAAAATAGCAAAAATACTTTGCAATACTGGTAAAGCATACATTGGTATGCTAGTAAAAACCAGTATCTATAAAAAAGGGTCCGATCTATATGTAGCGAAAAATGCAAATTACGATGTCGTTCAAAGACAAATGTTGTGATAACATCAAGACAGAATATTTTCAACAATTATTGGAGTTTAGGAGTCAGTTCAAAATTAGAAATACTACGGGGATTAAACTAAAAAGCAGATACTAATCGACTCAAAATTTTGATATTTACATAGATCAAATACTGCATTTCATTGCCAGCTAAACTAGAGTTTAAGTTTAACTATAGTTTAGCTGGCAATCATAAAGTCTTCTTCGTCATATTAAAGTCTGCAAAAGATCTATTTAAAATACTCTCGCTATAAATGACAAACAAAATGTTACTGCATTATCAAAATCAAAATTGTGACTGGTAGATTTCTGGATGATATGCGAAGGAAACATGATAATCAATATACTGTAGAAACAGAGATCTATGATACTGTCAAGATTTCTATTAAGACCATACCATGAATTGAATCTCATTATCTAAGAGACATCTCCCAAGATATCTCCCAAACATACTCCTGTGATGTTTCATGACATTCAGTATGTTAAATCATACTACAAAGAAAATTGTACAAAAAAGAACCTACCATTTGCTTAATATTTTTGATAAAGACAACAATTTTTCCTTCCATACTCTAAAGAAAAATCAGTATGCTCGCTATAAAAATGGCCCCACATGAAGTTCTGTTCTCATCCGGGCGCATTCAACATAAAGCAGTTAGGGTTATGGACGATCGAAGTCTTTCTGATCAGCTTGATCCTTTGGCTCTGCGTAAAGATTTTGGATCACTTTGCATCTTCTACCGCATTTATCAGGAGAAGTGTTCCGAGGAATTGTTTGGATTGATCTCGGCGGCTGATTTTCACCATCGGACATTGCGTCAAAACCAAAAATTTCATCCACACTACCTCGATGTCCAGGTTTGTCCACTTACCATCATCTGAGCATCCAGCTCGTTTTCCCCTTTTCTCCATAAAAAAAATATAAAATCGCTGACTAAGAAGGAGAACAATAATAGGTTGCTGAAGACGAAAATGACTTGAAAGAAAAAGAAATTTCTAGAAGAGAGAAGAGAAAGATAAAGCTAGGGTCGACAGTACAATTGTTGCTGTTTACGACTTATAGGCTGTGAAGTCACCTGTAAGTTGTAAACAGCTACAATTTTGGGGGGTTAATTTGTATTTTTTTGTTGAAATAGGCACAAAATGTTGAAATAATATTTTTATTGTGAATTTTTTATAAATGAGAATTGTCCGGTGAATTTTTTTCTTATAATCTGGTTTTATTTATCAATGTTGTCACCTCAATTTGAAATTTATTGCGTAAGAGGTAACTATAAAAGTTAAGCTAAATTTAAAAATTGTTGTAACTCCAAAATTTTAATGAAAAACATACGGAAAAAGTCAGCTTCAAATTGTAGTAACTCAAAATGTTTCATCAATAACTATACAACTAAAAATAATTAATCTTACTGAATACTTTGTTCAAGGCAACAGAGTCTTAACTCAAAAATTGCAAATTATTATTAATTACCTGTATTTTTTTTAATAATTGGTAAAGGCTAATTGCATTAATTTTATTAATAAATCTTATAAAGCATAAATTTTTTATAATCTATAACTGGAAGTAAATAATCAGTTTTTCATCGATTCTGAAAAAAGTCACATTTTGAGTTACAACAGTATTGTATTATTAGTGCGATGTGTTAAAATAGTACGAGTAAGAGTAAGTCCCTTTCGAAATCATTAAAACATATTTTTTGTCGTTGTAAAGATTTAAAAGTATTAATGAACCAAGCAGACCGTGTCATTCAACTTTGAACTATGAAATTACGCTTCGAAACTTCATTAACAGAAGAAATAACTAGCGAGGTTATAGGCAAGTTTTATCAGTTTTTAGATCAGTTTGTTAATTTTAGTATTGATGGGATGTTTTTGAAAAATTTCATACAGTCTGAAAGAAACTGAGGAAGAAAATATTAGTTCTTTTATGGTTTTTGTGCCTTCTTCGTAGGTTTGTCGGTAGGTAGGCTGATTTCGTAGTACGACTTTCCATAGTCATCCGTCGAATTTAGGGGTTGGAGGCGTGTGGTGGAAGCGGGGAGGAGTGATATTACCCCATCTTAAAAGGAAAATTGCGGAGACCCCCATTTTTGCGTTTTTTAATATTTAATTTTGATGAAATTTTGGTAATTTTTTTTATTAGCGCCGCGTTTTTAAACTTAAAATTTTTTTATTCGGTAAAGAAAAATCAATAATCGGTCAATAATCAATACCGGTCACTTATAGTTTTCGAGAAAAACAAAATTTAAAACTTGTTATTTTCACTAGAGAAATCCGCCATAATCCGCCGTATAAAAAAATCAGTGTTTTAAAATACTAAAATTCCTTCTACATTCTTATTTAGCATTTGAAGCAATGCTTGGCGCATCTATTGTTATATCCTTTCCAGCATACAAAGAATTTCGAATATCGTTTTACAACGATAATTCGAACGAGAGATGTCGCCATTGCTTCTTATAATTTTTAAAGTTTTTATAGTGCTAATCTCTGCACTTAAGATTGAACATTAAAACATGTAGAAAAAGTACGAAAAGATTGTCGCCGCTGTGGGAATCGAACCCACGTCTTCGGCATTCGCGGCCTGACGCTCTAGCCACTGAGCTAAACGGTTGATAGCCACAGCGACGAAAACTTTAACGCCTTCTTTCTACATTGTTATTCTTGTGTCGTCGCTGTGGAAATCTTAAGTGCAGAGATTAGCACTATAAAAAACTTTAAAATTTAAAAAATACATTGTTCAAAAACTAAATAAATAAAATATATTAAATTGAGAGTGGGCTAAACAATGATGGACCGAAACAAATTCTAAAAAATATTGTTAGGTACATGAAAATCTCAAGCTCAAATTTCATGCAAGATCTAATTTTACAGAATTAAGTTACGAACAATGTAGGTATATTATATGTTATATAATAAATAAGTATATTATATAGACTTATGTAGTATATTATCTATATACTAGTTATAACTAGCATTAGTAATTATTACAATAATACCAAAAAATATACTTATGTTAACTAACTTTTTAACAGTTCTCTACTAAAATATATACATGTGCACATTATTGTCGTGTTTGGTTTGTGTTCATGATTTGTCTATAATATAGTCTAGTAGTCTAGAGTAATATAATGAGTAATGTTTATTTTTATTTATAATATTCATTTAATATATGCAATATAATTATATCTATGTTTGTTTATATTTATACCTTTTTTAATGTGAGAAAGTGGCAAACGAGCTGACGGTTCACCTGATGTTAAGTGATCACCGCCTGCCCATGGACATTTGCAACAGCGTTGCAGATGCACTGCCACTTCTTAATGAAGTGGGCCCCGGCTACCTCACTCACCAGACGAAACGCAGAAGTGTAACACTTCTACTTGACGTCGGTCTTCTGTGAGGTCGTGGTACTAACCCGGATGGACCTACCCATTCGTGCAACGGCAAACACTGTTGCGTGGCCCTACCACCACAGACTCAACCAGACGAAAAAACAAATAAATATCCCTCTATAATAATCCTTTATTCCTCACCGTAATCCACAGAAGTGATTATAAACTTAAGATAAATTATAAAATAAGATACAGAAACACAATAATAGATTGATTATGGTGGACACTTTACGGTAACACTTGAATTATGATTATTACAAATTCTGTGCGTCAAGTAATCAACCCTCCACCCTGTAACAGAATCTAATAAAGAAGCAAAAGGCCGGCAACGCATTTGTGAGCCCTCGGGTGTTACAGGTGTTCATGGGCGGCGATCAGGTGAGCCTCCTGCTCGTTTGTCCCTTTTCTCCATAAAAAAAGCGTACATAATTACATCAAAACAATATAAAACTATTTCAACATTACGAAGAATATATATATATATCTATATTACTATTAAATAATAAGATATACGTAAGGCAAAATGCCTTACTTCTGGTGAATTTAACAAGGTCTTTGTGTAGATTGTCGCAAAACAGTTTATATCTCACGATGAATCGAAAATAATAAAATAAGTACACGTCGATTTCATATGAGAGGTTGGCGAATGAACAGGTGGTTTATGCCCTAATACCTTCTGTACGGAGGAGGCCTTTGTCCAGCAGTGGGACATGTATAGACTGTTACTTTACTTCAATTATTTTGCAAAACTTACCCGGTTGCAAGAAAAATGTTGGTATTCTCGTATTTCTCACGGCTATTCTAGCCGGCCCGATGATTATGTAGTCGTCGTTACTGTAGGTGCGTTGCCCGGTCCAGGTGTACGTTATGTTACTCTCCACATCCTCTGCAATTCAATTAAATTGCTTAAGAAATTTTTCAGCCTTGTGTACCTTTTGTATATCTATAGCGCATTTTCTCGGTGAATTAACTATGTATCTCAAACAAAAATCATATGGCGCTCTCTGTGGAAAAAAATGATGTAAACGGATGTTGCGGTGTACAATCGTAAATAAAACAATTCTGTATATGATGAAAATATGTGAAGTCCGCCAATGAGCAGTGGGGCCGTGTGGTGTACTATGCCCTGATACTCTCTGTATAGAGGATGCCTTTGCCCAGCAGTGGGACATGTATAGGTTATTACTTTTCTGCAACAAAATTTAGATAAAAAAAAATACAATTTAGATTGAACAGATTATAAAGAAGTATTAATATATACCTGACATTTAATATTGTCTGTGCCCTTTCGATACCACTGTATTGAAATTTCTGACGCGTTCATTCGAGGATTCTTATTCAATATCTCAATAACTCTAATATATATATATATATATATATATATATATATATATATATATATATATATATATATATATATATGTAACTGGAAATCATTTCGTACCCGTTAGTGGCCCACTATAGAGTGGATGGCTTCTGCATGAAGTCTGTTGCTTACAAAAACGAACAAGATTGTTTTCAGATTCTTAGAATGATACATAAGTTTATATTTCTCAACGGTATTCCGAGAGATATGATAACAACTCTTAATCTTAATAAGAGGGATAGCTACTCTATATTTCTTTAACACGATTGCTTTGTAATAATGGCAGACTTTTTTTGATAGAAATCCTTATCCTCGATATTTATTTTTAAATTATCAAATTCAGCACTACAAGCACGCTAAGTTGTGACTTTTGTGACAAACAAAATGAAAATAAAATGTCTTTTTCTAGGAGCGCTGGGCGAAATAAACAATATGAGACTGGTCCGCAGTCTATAATGAAAACTCACTTTTTTGGTCACTACATGGAACCTACTCCTCAGTTTTACCTTACTTAACCCAAAACGAATTTTTCACTCATTTAGAATTTAGAATTTTTTTGAATTAAAGTGACAGAATACACTAGTCCCACCACTGGTTAAAGACATCCTCATCATCTCCCCTGTACATAGTTCATCAAGCGACTTCACTACGAATTGAGGTTACTTTACATAATTGTGTTCGATTATATTTTTTTTAATTATTTCGAAAATATGCTCGTTTCCTTATGACGTTTTCCGTCACCGCTGAACACTGCCAAGTCAGCACTTAAAAATACAATTAATAATGTCATTGTTACCGGTACCGGAATTTAAACTTAGGCCGCTCGACTATATTGAATGCGCTTGGAAAACTGAACTATTCAGCTCACCTTCACTACTACTACCAATAAACCACTGAGATAAATTAACCCATGGCTCCAAATTTGCATGAGAACTGATGAGAAATTTTGCAGCTGCATTTTAGCTTAAATTTTTATCGATCCTATTCTCCATGAGAATAAGACTAAAGCAGTTTTTGGAAAAGCCACAGTATTCAAACCTTACAAACGACTAGTATGCCCGCCTAGACGCTCAAATTTTTTCAACTAGACGACGCGACGGTCTGATAGAGCGAATGGACGATGCCGATGGGAAATTAATGATTTTGGTATGTTATAGTGTGCCAGCCACGTCCTAAAGGATAAAAAGCCCGATTTTTAATGCTCGGGTGAATGTTCTGATAAATATGGATTTTATTACACTTCTTGCAAACGGAAATGACTCACATTAAAATGGGCAATTAGTATAACGGTCGAGTAGAATAATTAATTAGTTTGCAATAGTTGACGATGGGAAGGTGAGAATTCAAGTTTCTTAAATAAAATATATTTCTTATTACAATCAGCACTTTAGATATTTAAGATGCAAGGGAATTTCACATAAGCAACTTGTCTCCTGCGTATCGGAAAGTTGTAATAGTTACACAAACTTATTAGAGCGTGAATAATACCAAAACTTGATACATAATGCTAGCGCAGATTAATTAAAGTTTGTTGAATCATGAAACGAGTCCATTACGACTTTATCTGACGTTATTGTTCAAGTCACTTCACGAAGGTTTTGTACCGAAGTATCTATTTCGATGAGAAAAGTTTAGAATAAAATAACGAGTAGCAGGTTTCATTGAAATGGATTATTTAAATGAAGTCATAAAAGTATTGTATCAATCATATTGTGTATTCCAACGAGGTTAAATGAAATTACAAACTTGAACACTGACTTCTAAACATTTTATAGGTTGAGATATAAACTGAAGCGTTATGTTTGCGTATTTTTATTTCCACTTTTTGAGAAAATAATCTTTTTCAACCACACGAAAAGATAGTGTACAAACAATGCCTAAACATAGATAATATAATTTAAAAATACTTTAATGCTTTATAAACAGAAATGTTCAATTGACTAACACTAGTTGAGCGTTGTTATTGCCATGTAAGATTACATCTTACTTTTCATCAGTGACAGGTAGACGGTTTTTATACAGCGTGTATTTACAATCGCGACAATAAATGAACACATACATAGAGGATAACTTTTTAAAATTATATTAAACATTTACATTTACATCATACACATACATTTATGATGACTCTGTGGCGCAGTTGCCAAGGTATTGGCTTCGGCGTCGGGGGTCGTGAGTTCGATTCCCACACGGGACAACTATTTGTGTGACCCACAGACAGTTGTTTCGCATCTGGGTATTTGTCCGCGTGAAATTTATGTTTGTAAAACGTCCTTTACAACACAGGATACTATTATCCTAAAGTAAGGGCAGTGTTTTTAAAAAAACTAAAAAAAAAATATTTACCGAGTTATTAAATTTTCCAAAACAAAGAATTTCAGAACATCCTTACGTTACGTATAAAACTATAATGTAAAGTTATTCTTAAAAAATTTCTTAAACTAGGAATAGATTAATTTTTACTAACACAAATTCATAACTATAAGTCGTAATTGTATTTTATTAAAAATTTATCGATTTATAAGTATTAATAGCTAATAGAATACAATTTTTGCAGTCTATGAATGTCAAATTATTCAGGGTGGCTTTTTTAAGTGTATCCATTTTTTTAATTAAAATCTAGACATAAATAATGTTATATAAAAATGATAAATAATTAAAATCACTTTAACTTAATTACATTAATTTGAATTTATCTCAAAAAGTGCGTGATTTATAGGCAACTCATTTATTTTACGCGCGATCATTCATAACTAACACGCACACAAGTTGGTGCACAGGAAAATTTAGGTATTTATGAATGACTACCGCATTGTCAACACGTTCTATTTTTTAGAGAATAGAATGGTATTTTTTTGGAAAAAAAACTGTTTTGTATTTCAATAAACGATGATACTACCGAGTCTGAACCTCCTGTGTAAATTTGGGCACTTTTCAAAAAATCTCCCTGTATATAATATTGGTAGTATTTATGAAGAAGTGTAGCTAATAGGTTTCGGTATGGTACTGAAACCTACCAACCTAAACACTTTTAGTTTTTATTTTAACTCTTAGAAAATATCAATAACGCGCGCTTTTAAAGCATAATCCTTATAAAAATATCAGAAATATGTATTTGTGTTCTCTAAAATAAAATTGATAAAAGAAAAAAAATCACTTCCTCGAAAGATAAAATATTAAATTTATATTTAAAAATACTTACGCATATCCATTGTTATATAAGCCATGAAGGGGTTTATATTTTCAGCCATGTTCATTGTCAGTTCGCCCGTAATATGAAGATCGCTGAGGAATCTAACTCCACTTTTACCGCCCGCCAGATTGAATCTGATAAGAACAAAGACAAAGACCATCATCAGTGGCTCTCGTAACGGTTATTCTCTCTTGAGTACTTTAGATAGCATCGAACAAACTGAAGGTTCTTGCGAAATTAGCGCAAGTTTATTTTAAGGGAAGGAAAGTTTGATGATATTTATGTTTAAATAAAGCGAAACCGTTATATATAGTTATGGATTGTTATTAATATTTTATACGTATATGAGTTGTGTTTCAGCCGTCCAGCAAAAGCTATGACTTATGATCTTTATTTTCGTATAAAATAAAGTTAAGTAGGCTTTGAACTTTCATCAAAAAAAGAATAGTTAAAAGTTTTTGGTTGTAATAATCTCTAGATAGCCTAGAGATAATAGATAGCCTTTTTGGGTAAATAAGGGAAGTACTGATTATATATGAATTGAAATAATTACTTCGCTTTACATTTCCAACGTTGAGATTATAAGAAATAAAATCTTAAACAAGACAACTCACTGCTCCTAACGAGAACCCGTGAAATAAAGTATTTTGCTTAAGGGACAGAAAATTGAATTAAATATTCAAAGCGCCCGGGATGGGAATACTTTTCTATTAAGCGTTACGAGAAACCCGAAATTTTTCGCGCAAAAGCGTCAATGCTTCTGTAGAAGGAAGGGATTTAAATAAAGTCATAAGCTGAAACGTTTATCAAATTATTAAAACATTACAGCATATGATTGGCAATTTAACATTTTCCAACTATATTATACCGTTATTATGCAACCTGAAATTATTATTTTTTTTCGTGAGAAGTTGGTAAGCTAGCTGGCGAATCACCTGCTGCTAAGTGATGACTATTGCCAGTGGAAATTTGCAACACCCGTAGGTTTGCATACGCGTTGCCACCTTTTAGTAAATTGGGCCCTGGTTACCTCACTCTCCTTATGAAACGCAGAAGTATAACACTTTTATTTCACGTTCCTCTTCTGTGAGGTCGTGGTACTTCCCCGGAAGGACCTGTCGTGCAACAGCGAAGACTGTTGCGTAGCTCTTATTATTTTTTAAATCATAAATTTTGAACCCTCGAATAACATTTGACGTGACAGTGTTTTAGTAGATTCCAATTTGGACTTCGGTTGCTGGTTCGACATGATCACTTATGAATAAAATTCATCTTTCGATCAAATTTAGAATGAAGGTAAATAAAACATTATATCTCCCGCCTATATCTGATCAAAGGAAGTAAAAAATTGATTTATTTTTCTTTCATATCTTGAAATTAGTATTAAATATGTATGAGGTACCTCCTTTCAGCTAATTTTGTCCACCTCGCGCCGGTAACGTTGACGTTTCTAAGAAGGAGTGTCACCTGTTGTTCAGGCATTGCCACCACAACGCTGTTTATTTGAGCTGGATCGATGGGCCGCATGCCCATGTGTCCAGAGTCCATGAGGAAGAAGAAAGTGCGTAAGCCACGTCGAAGACAAGTTATATCGTTTGCTCTGCATGCTGGGAATGGCAAGGGAGTGGGAGCTGCAGAAAAAGACAAAAATTATTGTGGATATGTATGTGTATATGAAGAAAGGTTCTCGAGTGACCTGAGCCTGGCCATAGCAGTGGACCCCCGATGGGGGGCGATCCCCCCCCCCCCCCCCCGATGGAGCGATGACTTGGTGCCAATGTGGGGGAAGTCGATGGTCGCAGGTGGCTCAGGATAGTTTTTCGTGGATAGTACAGCAGTGGACTTGATTATGTATGTGTAAGGATTTTATGATTTAATTATAAGGTGTGATAACTACAATACTTTATATCATCGTTTATAGTTAACGTTCTAACGTTGGTTCAAACAGTTCTTTCATACGAGTTGGCTACGATCTATCATGCAATGATCAACATGTTAAATCAGAAGCCCTGATGAAACAGCAACATATTATTATAGGTAATGGGGTATATATTAACATTTGTTTTTATTTCACAAAAAACGAATGTTAACTTAACACGAATTAGTGTTAAATTCAGATTGTCATTATTATTTACTTTAAACCGAATTATAACAATAATTTATCAGTATTTAATATTTTAGCAATTTTTCATAGATTACTTGACTAGTCTTATAATCGTTAATAGCCAGAAGTCAAACGTGTTGATGGTGTTAATTAAATACCTCCTCAAGGTCTAAAGGTGTTATTACTTTACTTTAGTACTTTAGTACTTGACGCCGCGTAAAAAATTAAGCTTGTAATACAATGCAATTATAATAGACAAACGTTTTATTATTCTTTATACATTTTTCTTGTTATTTATTAATAATTAATTTGCCTTAAAGAAAAACTACGTTGTATATTAGTAATTGCTTTATTTACACACATCTATGCCAAGGTTTTTCATACTAAATTTATTTAAAAATACACTAAGGGCAAATTTGATCAACTTTTATTTGATCTTGTGATATTTATTATTAAAAACAGCTTACTGTGAATTCTCAAACTTTATCTTAGAGTATGGAAAGAAAACAATGTACAACATTTGTATAGTGCTAAAAATATTGGAATTTCGGTGAGTTCATACCATCTTAAATTACAACAATAAGCCACACACACAAACTTACTATTGTAAATCGAAGATTACGTTTAACTTGTATTTCTTGAATTTCATTGAAATGATGATCGGTGCGTAATAAGTTTATTTCATTTTTATTTCACGCAGACATCAAAGCCTGCATGTGAATAGAATTTCATAATATAGAGGTAAATATGGCGACAAATATTTTGTTACAGGGCTTTAGGATTATAATGTTTATTGTCTTGTAATCGAGTTGGGATGTGTTTGGAAATCATACGATGGAAGGTGGTAGTAACACCACATCTATTGAATCGAAGATAATCTTGTCCAGACTGTCCTATTTGTTACCAAAAAATTTGCTACATATAGGTTATATAAGGCACCTACATGATTATACCTCAAATTTTAAAATTAAAATATCCAATTTTCCTTAATACAGAGGTAAATATGGCGACAAATATTTTGTTACAGGGCTTTAGGATTATAATGTTTATTGTCTTGTAATCGAGTTGGGATGTGTTGGGAAATCGTACGATGGAAGGTGGTAGTAACACCACATCTATTGAATCGAAGATAATCTTGTCCAGACTGTCCTATTTGTTACCAAAAAATTTGCTACATATAGGTTATATAAGGCACTTACATGATTAAACCTCAAATTTTAAAATTAAAATATCCAATTTTCCTTTTATGTCCGTTTATACCCACACACATGATTATATAAAGCGTGCTACGAAGTTCCTGCTTTGATATTTAACTTAGTTATAGGTATATACTTAGTACCTTTTCTGTAAAGTTATGACCCCTGTGAAAAGAAGATTCTTCTGTATTGCCCGAATAAGTTAAACTCCCCTTTGAATATTATACTAAAATTGTCTGGCGATATAATATTCACAATACATATCATGTTGTATGAAAATTGTAAATCTAAACATGTGAGATAGGTTTGTAATTTTGCCTACTTTTTTATTTTTAAGAACTCAGTAAAGTACCATTTACAAGTCGTAAAGGAAAGAGAGATAAATAATAAAGTAACACATTAGTAGTAAGGCAGATGAGGATGACATGAAAATGTTTTTTCTATATCTTTTATAGACTTTTCTTAGTTTTTATTCACCTAACTATAGCAAAAGGCATGACGTGAAGTCTCTAAAGGCAAAACGAAAAAAGACAAATATAAGGTGTCTCTAACACTGCGAATATGATGTTTCTTCTAACTCAAAAATGATAAAGGAAGAACAATTATACAATTATTTCTGAATTATTCGTAATAATAATAAAAATAATAATAAACTAACCAGACGAGAAAACAAATGAATATCCCCCCAAAAATAATAATTATCAATGTGGTAATAGAAATAGAGTATTTTAGTATTTGTAATATTTCTTAACAGCAAAACTTCTTGAAAGAAATATTAAAATTATATTTAATTTGTAAAATAAGGTATTTATCTGCATGATTCTAAATATATCGTACCTATGTAGAAGTTATTAAACTCTGTCTTGGAAGAAAAGCTCTTAAAAGGCTTCTAAGGAGGTCTTTATCGCATTCAGTGACTTTTTCACCAGCAATACAACTTTTTATTTCACATTTGCCCCTTTTGTGATTTTTCTAAATATTCATGACAACTGATTTTGCACAGTCGACAGATATAAGCTATGCTACCGATTCCTTAAAGCTTGTTATAGCCTTCAGGTAACAGTCAAGTAAAACCGCTTTATGCAGGAAACTATCAACTCGTAGTGAAACTTTGTACATTATTGTCTAAAGTACAAAACGTCGTAGTATATTCGACAAAACTATTTAAGTTAAATTGATATCTGACTTAAGTTCATTGTTGTGTTCAATGAATTACTTATCATTGTTGTTTTAAGTATAAGTTAAACATAAAGAAAAAAATATCAAATTGTATTTACTGTATTGGTTACTCGCATGAATCTCAGAAGAAATAGATAATTTAATACATAAAAATATTTATTTAATAACATACTACAGTCACACACACACTTAGTCACTCCTCCACAAATTTTAACAGCAGAGCTTGAACTTGAACTTATTACAAGGTCAATAACCGACGATGTCTGGATGTTCTTGTCAACTGCTGTCTCGTGTTGATTATGTTAATTCAAAAAATAAAATATTCAAGGTTTTTTTTAATTTTTTGAACATGAGTACGAGACATAAAGTTCAGTTGATTGAAAGTAAACTTGTTCAAAAACAAAATTAAAAGCAATCTACAGAAAGCCCGTTTCTATGTTGTTCGGCGAACGTTGTGAAGGTATGCTATGATTATTTATAATAATGTAAAGTATGCTAAGTCACTGATTAAATACTCATGTAGTTTTTCGTTTTATGTTTTTATAAATCTTAAATAATATGTGGCAGTTACCTTACGTAGTTTCTACGCTATTGGCTTCGGTGGCGGGTTCGGTTCCCACTCGGGACAAATAATCGTGTGACCCACAGATAATTTATCCAGGTCTGGGATTTTATACCTAAGGAAGGTTGACGTATGGCAGGCGGTTGGTCGTAATAAATGAATAAATCTAGCTACCAGGAATCCATATATTGTGCCGACCCCCAACGGTAGGATTCGGGTGGGATAAAACAGAAGAAGTTTACGGATTATTTATACAGTTCATAAAATATAATTATGTTACAAAACAGTTTAAAAACAAGGAAATGCAGCTAGTGTTCTGGTACCATGCCGCGTGGATTAGGTTTATTAAATAATATGTAATTTTAGATAGATTTAATGTTGTAAATTTTGGATTAATTCCAAGGTATATTAAACCGTTATCAAAATAAAATCTTTAAGAATAAAGTATTGTATATATTATTTAGGAAACATATACCCCGTGTTCTTTGGGTTGCCACAGTAATCATGCTGTAGCTATTGAACTAATAATAAGAATTGTACGCCATTTGTAACTTAAATACTAAGTTACAAATGGTCATGTGAATTGTTGGGCATAAAATAATGTATTGCAATTTATTTTTTAATTATTATTTTAGTATAATTTTTATTCTAAATTATTATTATTTCACGAAACAGACAGTTTTTTGAACTGTCTGTTTCGTTAAATAATAATAATTCATCAATCAATAATTCATAAATAATAATAGTTCATTCTAATGACAAATAAAATAAAACAGCGACTCCAACTACTTTGAAAATGTTCAAGGCGGTGATATTCAACCAAAAACTCATTCGGATGGGCTTTACGTTTTTTATGAGGCCACATAATCAAGGTGGCATCGATGATCGAAAACACTGCGACAGTTCATGAGTTGAAAAGCCGCCCACGCCGGGTGTATTACTAACCAACTCACTCATACATTACTGCATGAAGCAAAAGTAAACGACAAAACAACGACATTTGAGGGGAATATTTGTTCCAAATGTTTGAAAGGATGTATGTATGCTAGTACTCCAATTTTTACGGTGGTAGGGCCATGCAGCAGCCTCGGTTGTTGCACGAATGGGCAGACTCGTCTGGGTAAGTACCACGACAATCTTTACGTTCATTTCATATAAAATGTTCGGTTCTAAATATAGTTAAAAATTCAAAAATACACCGTACAAAGCTTAAAACCAAATTTTCATTTAAGTATACATGCTAAGTATTAGAAAATAAATTATTTACTACAAAATATCAGAAATTTAACAACTAAAATAGACAGCCAATAGCCATAGAAGTTTTTTCGTTTGAGAATCGAATTACAAGGGCTTGACTATTTGGAATGAGAAAAAATAAACCACAAAGTACATTAAAATCATAAAAGCACTAAGAACTTTAATTAATATGCTTTAAGCTTTTTTACAAAAGGCATCTATAAGCCTTCTATAAAAAGGCAAAAATCTAAAGGCTTTTATTTCTATATATTTTTTTTGTTAAAATTCAGAACGGTAAAACTTGTGAATTTTCTGCCTTACCCACTTTAAGCTTGTTTGCAAAATTTTCTCGCG